TGCTTCTCCTACGAGGAGACACTGGAATGGTATTAAACATATTTTTAGGTATCTTCAAGGTTCACAAGATCTTGGTTTACTTTATAAGAAAATTCAAGATATGACATTGGTGGGCTATTCGGATGCTGGTTATATGTCTGATCCCCATAATGCTAAATCACAGACTGGTTATGTTTTTCTTTGTGGTGGTACTGCAGTCTCGTGGAAGTCGGTCAAGCAGTCCATGGTTACTACATCTTCAAACTATTCAGAAATAATTGCTTTATACGAGACTTCACGCGAATGTGTATGGTTAAGATCTTTAATCCAACATATTCGTGGATCATGTGGAATGACAAATGATATAACCCCCACTGTCCTTTATGAGGACAATGCAGCTTGTGTTTTACAAATGAGTAGTGGGTATGTCTAAGGAAGCATGACAAAACATATTGCTCCAAAATTCTTTTACCCACACGAGCTCCAGAAGAGCAGTGAGATTATTGTACAAAAGGTAAAGTCTAGCGAGAACTTGACAGACCTATTTACCAAATCCCTTCCTACATCTACTTTTGAAAAATACATTTATGGTATTGGTATGCGTAAACTGGGAAGACTATTTTCTTCAGGGGAGGGAAAAAAACTCAAAATAATCCTGAAGATTATGTCCTGAAGACCAAATGTTGTACTCTTTTTCCTTTAACTAAGTTTTTCCCAATGGGTTTATTAGTTAAAGGTTTTTAACGAGGCAGCTAGTAAAACACATGAATTTTTATAAACCATGTACTCTTTTTCCCTTGACTAATCTTTTTCCCTGTCGGGTTTTTATTAGCAAGGTTTTTAATGAGGCATGTAGTAATGTCCAAGGGGGAGTGTTATAAATACATTAATATGAACATTACTAATATATAATTGGGCCTGAAGTCCATTAGATAAAAAAATTAGGTTGTAGGGCTTCCCTCTTGTAAACCCTATAAAAGGGTGATTATACCGATGAATAAGATTACAGACTTTTCTGCTTCTCTTTTCTTATTCTTTACTGCACATCTTTTATGCTTGTTTGATTGATGGATGATTGGTGAATATTGAGGACTCCAATTTACAACAAGCATAACTTTTGAATAACTACTTATTTGATCTATAAATTTAGAACCTAAATTTGGACTGCACAAATAAACTTTTTTATATATTTCATGTATAATATATATTTATATGTATTATATATCTCCATTATACATATAAGAAAAAGTTTGAGGGATTGTGGCGCTGACATGTGTCATCTTTTTTGGACAAAAATGCACTTTAATTTCAGCTGTTTTTACTAATGTTGCCACTGCTTTTGTTGTCAAATGACACAGTTGCCCTTAGAAGACACCTGCGTTGCAAACAGCGGAAAAACTGGTGAGATGGTGGTCGTACGGCGCAATCCTCTCGCCCTTCTTGCTACTGTTTGCGAATTTTTTTAGCGTGAAATCGGGTACGGCTTTTACTTTTGGAGATTTTGCATTTGCTGCCAATTAAGTCTCCTCCTACCCAATCTTTCGATTAGACCTGTAAGATTTGAGAAATCTTACTCTCAGATATCCTCTCTTTCAGAAAGATTGAGAGCAGAGGGAAATCAATAGAGGTTTTTTTTTCCAGCGCTCTTCACGGCCAGGCTTCAGGGAAATGAGGCGGCGATGCACAGATCGAAAGGCGGAGGCGGCGTGCGGAGGCGGCGAAGCAGGCGTCTTCAGGGTCACGGAGGCTGATTCGTCTAACGACGACGGAGAGGTCGGCCATGGGCTGACGGGGACTGACGGATGGCTGAACGAAATTTCATGGTAAGAATGCTATAGTCTTGATTTCTGTGCGAGTTTCTTTGGCCGCCGTATGGTTTTTTTAATTGTGGAATTCATGTATGGGTTGATTTTTCGGCGTTCTTGTCTGCCATATTTTCGAAAAAAAAGGGACTGTATTGTGCGACTTTGGGTGTGGGGTTAAATTTTTTCGCTGTTGTGGTGTGTGGCGTTATGGATTTCTTGTTTGAGCATACATTAAAGGAGCAGCAGTTCATGGAAAGATAGATCGAAGTAAGATAGATCGAAGTGGTGACACGAAGGTATTTTTTTTCTTTTAATTTACTAATATATTCTTATTTCATATTACGTTTTTTAGTTTTTGTAATTTTTAGGGTTTCTGCAGACCGAACAGAGTAGTTCCACCGCCAGCAGCCACGGCCAGAGCTCCCTTCCCGTCGCACTCCTCAAGCCCCGTCTACTCCACCACTCGAGTAAGTGGAGATTATCAATTTTTTTCATTTTTTTTTTTCAATTTTGACTGCGAGTTTTATCAGATTCAGCTATAGGAAAAGTGTGTACATGTAGATCGAAATTTGATCTATTGTGAGGCTCGGTTTGAGTTTATTTTCAGACTTCATTACAGCAACAAATTAATTTTTTTTGGTAGGTTTTTTTTTTTTTCTTCAACTTGTTAACATATTTATGCACATTGAGAATGTAGCAAATTGTTTCGTTTGTTGCTTTTGAACTGGATGGTGTGGTGCAAATTGTGAAAATTATGGTCCCCTGCTGTTTCAGTTTCCTCTTTAGTTTATAATGAGATAAAATGTTTAATTGTTTGGAATAGGGACTTAAAAAACTAAACTGAATTTTATTTTATGAGTTAAGTTAAATTTCATCTTGATTCAAGATTTTTGAGAGAACATAAGCTACGAAATGCGAGGTCTGTTGTATTGGACCTTTTTCATGTTTTCAGTAGCTTAAAATGATATTTTTGCAGAATGACTAAAGAAAATTGGATGTTCCTTGTGGCGGCAGGTACTGCTATGCAGCCGTTTGCAGCCAAAACCATCCGAATAGAAGAAATTGACATCATCGAGTAAGCTCGACTTGTTCTATTGCCAATACAAGAGAGATTTAAAATATCCCTCATAATAAGAAAGAAAATAGAGTTTTCAAAACACCAAACTCTTCATGGTGTCACGAATGTGCTCTAGAGGTTTTGTAAA